TTGCACTGGGCATGGATGCTGTATAAACATTACCTGCTGTGATTTGCATAAACACTTAGGCAAGCACCACCCTTAGCAAGTAGAAAATGCACATGTCTTCAGTGGAAGTGTTTATATTCTCAGTGATGCAATCACTAGTATGTGTTTGCTCCATAATAATATTTAAAGGTCTGTGGCGGACTGCTGACCCTAATGAAAGTATTTATGAGTGTGCCTCAGGGACAGCCTGCCTGGACGTGCTCAGGGGCAGAATCAGCTCCTTCCTCACACAACATGACACCAGACGCTCTTGAGTATTGGGGTGGCCTCTGATTTGCAGGTGTGAGAAGGCACAGCCAGCAGCTGTGCTTGGGGCTGTGCTTGCAGGCTCACTGGAGAGCGAGGCAGCTGGGAAGCAGCCTGGAAAATAAAATGCAAACATTTCTTGCAGGTGCACTACAGAGCTGAGGCCCCTAAGTATGAAAACCACAACTCCTGTTCTGAGAAGATTTGTATGGAGACTTCACACTACTCACTACAAACTCTTTTTAATTTGTGTGGATGTGCTCTCTGCCCTGAAGTTAAGCACATACATTCAGAGTGCAGGGACAGTGTGTTCTAAGTACAAGTCAGCTCTGAAAGAATAAGCAATTTTTCCTAGTACAGTATCTGTGACATTGTTGTGTTGCAGGGCTGGGAGAGATCTTTAGATTCCCAGAGCAGATAAAACAGCTGGTGAAAGCCTAATGCAAAGAAAATACATGGCTTATGTACCCTCTGCTTTCTTTTCTTAGCACAGTCTCTATCACCACGCAGTTTACTTAGTGTCGTGGGTTTCAAAACTAAAAAAAATAAAATCTAAAAGTCAGTATGTTACTGTTCCCAGCACAGAGTTAATTATCTGTAGGGCAAAATATGGTGTAAGATGGCTTTCTGGCAGGTAAAATGACTGTGTGTCTACAGTCAGGACTTAGTCCATATAATTAAAGTAAACTTCATGTACAGAAAGAAATATTTGTGATAAGAGGAGTACAGAACATATACAGCTAAATCCTACCTTTTCCAGCATTATGGTAGTAACAACCACCTGCTGATAAAATCCCATGCACTGTCATTACTTTGGTTGTTGTTTCAATTGGTATTGATTTTATGTTCATTAATTTTAGGTGCCCAAGCTGCAAAACAAAACAAGCCTCGTGTTCAGTAACCCCATGTACAAACAAAGATTCACTATGGATTTACCAAATAATGGCCATTTTGAAAATATGGGCATCTCATCTATTCTCTCTCTGTTGCAGCAACATTGGAAGATCCAGGTATCTCAGTCATGAAAACCATATTTTCTTTGTGAAATATGGATTCCTACACAGAGACGTTTGCCTTGATTGATCATGTGCCTATGACACATGTTACTACCAAAGCACAAATCAAGTATTTCTGGTTTGGGTTAGTATAAATCAGCTTTTCCATACAGTTGTAAGCTGCCGAAGGGTAAAATATGTTATAAATTACTTACTTGAATACTTTTGTAGCTCAAAGCCTACACTTTGCTAATTCTGAAAAGCCATTAGGAAATTTCCAATCATTTCTTGATTTAATGCTACTAAAAATATCTCATCCTCAGATTATTAGCACAGTAGGATGTCGAGGGTCAGAATATTTGTCCTGGACATCCGACATAAATCCCTGTTCCTTATGCAAGACCTGGGTTTCACGGAAAGTTCCCTTCTTGATCTCTTCAGATTAAGTTTCCTTAGCTTTCTTAGTTCACTTAGGTGGTTTAAATACAGTAATTTTTTTTTGTTTGGACTGAAACCTGCTAATAACCACTGAAAAATCTCACTCATCTTTTATATGTTAACGTGTTTTACTTACCTAAAAAATAGTCTTAATGAGTTTGACGTTTGAAAATTCTAGGATTTGGGAAGGGGGAAGGGAAGCTCTGTTTCAAAACCAGAAAAACAGTTCAGGAAATTCCAGTCAGTTCCACTCCTTGGGCCTGTGAGTCTACTTTAATTAGCACTTCCAGCTGGCCAGATTGTTGCTAAAGAACGTAGTTCTAGAGAGCTCGATCAGTAATGTTAAAAATGTTGATACCTCAGGATTTGAGAACAAAACCAGTTTAAATGGAAGACTCTGTTAATTAGATAATGAGACATTCAGGAATAATCCCTTTACTGAGAAACCTGATAATGCCTTTATCCACTATTCTGCTTTTACTAAAACATTTGCATTCACCAGATTGCATATTTTTCCCTAATCAGAGTTCACTTCCTTATAGCAGTTGACAAATAAGAGGTTACAATCTTGACTGCTGTTTAAAAGCCTTGCCGATCCTTCCCTTGAAAGGTTAATTTAAAATAAAGAAAATGGGCCACCTTATTCTCTCTTGGTAGTTCTGTAATAAAGGGTTGATTGTTCAAGCAGCAGCATTCAATTATTCTGTTTCTGATGCTATCTACATGTAAAAAAATCTAGCTAGGCTTAGCTGGTCCCTGAAGGCTTTCCAGTTCTAGCCCTCAGTACAAGGATGCAAAACAAAAAAAATTAGAGCCTCACAATTAACATTCAAAATGTCAAGTATTATGTTGTCAAGTTAAAGAATTAAATTTACTTCCAGGAATATCAGATACAGAAAAGCTTCTGGAGTGTTTACCCATTTTTTAGTGAAACTCATTCTTTGAATACGTTTGCTGGAGAAAAATAAGCTAACCAGGGAAGTCAGAGTAGCAGCCAGTGTTCAGAGAAATTGCCCACAAGTGTAGCCCTCCAGTTCTTGTTGATTTATTCATGATACTAGACCTCTACAACAGACATTGAAATTGTACAGTATATTAATATAGCTGAAGCAGAAAACAATTGGCTCCCTATCTGTGTTTTTATTTTACTTTTTTTTTTCTCCCCTACAGGAGCTGGGATGCTCAAACAACAGATGTGCAGACCAAAAGCAATGAAATGTATTACTCTGATTCTGATGGCTGAAAGGAAACCAACATTGACCCTCAAGAGTTTAGGGTATAAACAAAGAGTTTTAGAATTATGCATGTACACTGAGACCAGTGAATAACATCTTGGAAACATGGTAAGAATATATATCAGTGTAAAATAAATCAGCTCTCAAAGGGAAAGTAATGTGAATGGCTCAAACAACTTTGAAATTAGTGTTAATTTTGATAGCGGCATGAATTTTAGCCCCACATTTCCTCACTTTTACTTACTGATCTTCTAGGTGGAAAACTGAAAAGACAGGAATGTCTCAGAGGGGAAAATCAATGCTGTTACAATGGATCCTCACAAACAGCAACAGGGGCATGGCAAAGCTGCTCTGGCATTGGAAGGAACCTTGGCAGAGTTGAAGAATCAGATAAAGCACTTTTTACTTGCAAGCCAGTTGAAGCAGGCCTCCAGACAGACCAGTGCACAGGTGTGTTCTGTTCCATTTAAAATATCAACTCTTCTTTAAAACAATGATAAAATAGAAACACAAAAAAAACCCACCCCATAATCCTGTTAATGTCACAAAAAAAAAAAAAAAAAAAAAAAAAACAAAAAACCAAGGTTTTGCCAAAAAGTATAAAATTCCTTGTTTCACGATTAAGGAGTTGTGTTCAGTGGTTTGAGTGTGTATTAATGTGTAGTAATGGTCTGGTTTTTTCCTAAAAAAAAAAAAAAAAGATGCTATCTGTATATCTTATCGTGTTAAGTGACAGGCATCATGTTCTGATGACCTGCAGTTCATGTTTGCAAAACTGTGCCACATTTCTTCTGCCATCTTAAATAAAAAAGTCACCAGTGTCTAAAACACTTACACTGAAAGGCTTCATCAAATTGCATATTTTGACCTAATCAGAGTTTAATTCTTTTCCTAGTCAGAGTGTAGAGTGTAGAGGGCACGAAGGCTCCGCAGAGCCTGAGCCAAGATGCACATTCCAAGAAGCCCATGGAGCCTGTACTGTGACACACTTACACTGTGAGAGGAGGCACAATAATGCACAAGAACAGTTCCTTTGGGTAATTCATGTTTCCTGTATTTCTGGGAGAAACTCTCCCATACTCCTCCACCTCCCTCCCCAGCTTCTCCAATCCCTTGCTGAAAGGTAATACCACAAAATCCAGCCTTTGTTATCCAGTAGGAGAGCAGCAGTAAACAATTCAAGGACAATAGCCACCAGACATGTGGAAAACACTTCATTTTTACTGAATGGCCACAAAATCCTTTGCTAATTAGAGTTCCTGAACGTTGAAAATAACTGTAACCTGCTTGCTTATTGTTGAAACCCCATGTAGTTTGTGGAATGGAGGATCTCTTTAGAATCTCTTAAAAGATCCAGAAATGTTTGGATTTTTTTTTTCTTTTTAAAGATGACACTTCAGACTGGAATACTGAAAAATACAGGTTAAGGAACAGCTCAACACTGCCAGGTAGTATAGGTCAATAATGACTTCATACTTTACATTTCCAGTGACTTTTAAAAGTATTTTGCGTTGTTCAGTCTCAGGTCATTTGGCAGACCCCAGCAAAACCCCCATTTCCAGCTCTGGGAGGGCTGTGTTAGCTCCGAGACTCCTGTCCCTGCCCGCGGCACTTGGCGGCGGCTCCTGTGCGAGGCGATGGCAGCCAGTGGGGACAGCCACCTGCGGCACCAGCACGGCTCCTGCCAGCCTTTGCTGCCCGCGGAGCCAGGGGTGACAGCCTGGAGCGACGATGACGGCCGGAGCATGAGGCTGGAGCCTCCAAGCTGCGGCACAGACACCAGCGGCCCAGCTTGGCTCCTCGGCCGCACTGGAAGCAGACGGGATCCCAAGGGTATGAAAGTCCGCGAGGTCAGGAGATGGTTTTGAGGGGGGACGCGCTTTGACCCTCATTCCCGACCGCTGGGTCGCCAGTGTCCTTGGGAATGCTGTCGATCTCTAGTACATAGGCGATTGCCCCCTCAGCGCTGTCCCGCCCCGGGGGCAGCGCGGGAGGGCTGGGCGGTCTCCGGGGCGGGCGGACCCGCCTCTCTGCCCGGGGCCGGGCGCCGAGCACCCTCCTCCTCCCCCGCGGCCAGGCGGGGGCTGCCCGCGGCGCCGGGGCCACACAAAGCGGCGAGCGGCGGTGCCTCCGCGCCGCCCGTCCGGCGACAGCCGCGCCACGCCGCGCCGGCCATGGAGCCGCCCGTGCCCCCTCAGGAGCAGCCGCCGCGCCCGCGCTCGCACACCGTCACCACCACCAGCAGCTCCTTCACCGCCAACCTGTCGGCCAGCTCCAGCACCCTCGCCTACGACAGGGAGTTCCTGCGCACCGTGCCCGGGCTCCTCATGGTGACCGAGATTGTGAGTGCCCCGGCGGCGCGGAGGGGCGGGGGAGCCTCGGGCGGCGCTGGGGTGAGGGGTGGGGGTGTCCCTCAGCATCACCCCGGGGCTGCCCAGGGCCCGTGCCCGCAGGTGGAGCGCGGGGGAAGGACGAGCCCACGGAGCAAGAGCGGCTCTACGGCAGGGGCACAAATGTTTCCCGCCTGGAAACTGGAAAAGCAGCGCAGGGCACACGCGGTCTGTTCAGCCTCCCGTGGTATCTGCGGTATCATCACGGCCCGTAGCGGAAAGACGAGTTTTGGCAGACGGGGAACTGAGTTTTGGAGACTTTTCTGTAACCACGTTGGTTGTGCTTTGCACTTGATAGCACACGAATAGTCATGATGTGGGAGTTAATTAAACAATTCATCTTTGTTCCCTAGATCAAAAAAAAAACCCCATTTCCTTACGCTCTTAGTGCTTAGATACACCTGTGCGGAGTGGGAGATGAACTGACGCCTTTTGGGTTTGGCAGTGCATTTGGTTTTTGCAGGTAGTCCACAAGGTGTAAATGAACATGCAGAGGGCCAGGCAGTGCTAAATTCAGTCACTTGCCTTAGTGGTAGGCGGTGAACAGCACGACGCCAGGATCCTTCTGCAGGCCCGTGTGCCCTCAAGAGTGTTGAGCAACAGATGCTCAGCATCTCCTCTTAAAAATGATCTGTTTAATTCCATTCATCTACACTATTAATAATTAAGAGTCTTAAAGAGCTGGCTGCCCCAACTAACTTTTTGAGTTTCCTGTGTGAAGCTTTTGTTGTGCTGAAGCTTCAAGGATTAACTTATCAGACCACATTCGTTTTCAAGGCTTGAAAACATTGTGCTTCACCAGAGCGGTGGAATGGCTGTTGGTTTGCTGACTTCAAAGTTAAAATAACCAGGCGAAGCTTCAGGCTGATGTGTGATGTAGGACCTCTGGCAGGAACAGTGCCACTGGAGAGAGGATGCACACTGACATGCCAGATTGCTGTGCAGGCCAATAGTGATGAGACTGTGAGGTCAGAGCTGCTCCCAGCTGGTACCCTGTGTGCCAGTGTCCTTGGGAATTCTGTCGATCTCTAGTACATAGGTGATTGTAGGCTTGCTTTGGCTATTAAGTACAGGAGATGCTTCACTGTCAAAGGTGTGGTAGATCTGTGAATAAATAAGTTTTTGAAATAATAGCTGCTTTCTTTTCCACTCCTTTTCAGTTAGTAATTACAACAGAGTAATGTACCTTTCTTGTGCTTTATCTGCAGAGTGATCCCACTGTAGATTGTTACAGAGGTGCCCAAGGCTTTTCCCGAGCCCTGCTGGAATGTCATATATTCATCCTGGCTGTGAATACTGGATCAGCTGCACTCACATTGAGCTACATGGCCACAGGGCATGGACAGGCTCTTGCTTACTCTTTGTTGGAAGTGTGCCCTCTACTTTGTGTTGACAGGTGGTATTGTGCAGCTTACCTTTCTAAACAGTGATGGTGCTTTCTAGGGGGATATTGTTTCCTCTCAGCCATTCCTTATTCCTGGGATAATTGTAAAATGTAAAATGAGCAGTTCCTGGCCAACTCAAAGGAGCTAATAGAAGTCTCTAATGTAGATTAACTTTTACTGGTTTGCAATGGTGTATTTGAGAGAACAGAGTACAGTTCTGATATTAAGTTGAAAGGTGTAGGGCAGGTCCTACTGATAGATAGTGTCTTTAAGGAAATACTTCTAATTCTTAACTCCACTTATTTTAAAGCAGCTAGAGTAGCTGTTCTTCCCTGAAATTAAAGAAAAATATATTACTGAAGACCTTTATATGGAATTAGCTGAAAGAACCCCAGTTACTAAAATCAAATAGTGAGTTTATATTTGTGTGTATATATATATTTGGCATTGGGTTTTGGTTAAACATTTTCCACCAGTTCATTATGTTGGTTGGTTTTGTTTTTGGTTGTTTTTTTTTTTTTTTTTTCTGAGAGAAAATGTGCTTTAACAGAGCCTGACTAGAGATCCCAAGATCTCTACTTCAAAACTTGTTGTGCATATTCAGCAGTATTGCAGCTGTGTACCCTAAATCAGCCTGTTCTGATTGTTGTGCCTTGCCTGCACTGATTGACCCTTCAGGATATTTCTGACCCTCAGTACTGGTGCCCCAGCTTATAGCATGATCCTTCTGCTAAGAATTTGCAAACCTGTAAATAAGACCAGCATGTAATTCAGTCTCAGGAGTTTGCAGCCTGGTAGATCTTTTCCAGTCTGAGCTCTAAAGGACAGCTGCTGTGGTAGGAGCATCCCTTTGCTTCTGGTGCCCCTTCTCTGGGACACCTGTGACATGGACAGGGAAGAAGACTGTTTTTAATAATATCTGCTGTCAGTGCAGCTACTCATCTGCCAGATCCCATGTCCATGTTAAAGCTGAGCTAGGGGCATTAAACAATGGTGCTAAATGCTCTGAGAGTTTGCACTGTGGGGCTGCATAAATATTTGATTATTGCTGCTGTCAGTCAGCAATGTGCATGCAGCAAGAGGGGTGCAGTCTGTGTCTCCTGGCTCTGAGACTCTACTCTCCCCTCTGTGTAGGCAAAGGGCAAATCTGTGTTATTCTTTGACCAAAGAGAAGGGAAAAGCAGAAAGTTACCACATAAATGAAATATTCCAGCCCCTTAAATGAAGGATCTTGATCAGGTTTTGCTCCCACGTCCCTAATTTGCATACTGTGAAGATGAATTAACTGCTGTGTGGATTTCCATGCGTGATGGTAACCAGCCTACATCTGCACTGAGACTGTGGTTTAATGGCACAGTAAATTCAGCTTAACACTTCCTACTAAGAGATTCTTTGTAGTCGTGCAAAGCACTGGTCTGCTATTAACTCAGTCTGCTGTTTCAAATTTGTTCAAAATGCGTTAGCTTTACAAAGACAGCTTTTATGATGGATCAGGTATTACCCATCCTTTATGTAGCTGCTTTAGAGCCTGTGTAAATGTGGGATGAGGCTGACTGTGCCTATTCAGCACAGTCTATTCAGTAATAGAGTTATGTACCCAAACCTGGTTCAGCTTAATTCTCTAACGGCTTTTGGTCTAGCATTGCATACATGTAGCATGAATGAGCTCAGAAATGCAGCCTGAAGTGTAGGCTAAATTACCTGGTGCTGACAGATTTCCATTGCCTTTGATGTCTGCCTCCATGACCAGAGCAGGTGCAAGGTTTCCTGCCACTCACTTGGAAAGAACTGGGGTCAGTTTATTTCAGTGGAAAAAGCAAAATGGAAAATGGCACTGGGTTTCTGAGAGGCCTTTGGAAACTGGCATAAAACATAAGGCTGTCCAAAGCACTTATATACAGAAGTAGTGGTGCTTGCTGGACAGGGCAGGGACTTCTGACTCTGGAAACTTGCATTTACTGGCCTTAGTTGGCCACTGACTCTGGAAGTTAATTTATCTGCATCTCTCTGACTTCCCAGAATGTCTCATCCATTCATGGAATATATGTACTAATCTTTGTAAGGAGCACTGAGATCCATTGGTGAAAAGTAGTATAGAAGATGTAAGTGGTGTTACAGAAAGTCTTTAAATGAGAAAATGAGATGTCAGTTGCCTGGGTTGACACGGAAGTGAAAATACATCATATAAAATAATTGATACTGATCCCTACAGTGTAGCACCACCAGTCCCCCTGGAGGATTTACTGTTTCAAAATGAGCAAGTATAGCAATTTCTAGAGATATCTTTTGAGTGTTTCTTTTCTGTAAAATGATGGCCTAGAAAAGCTATGTTTATCTTCCTGGGACTTTTTGTGGCCAAGAAAAATGATGGCTACTGATACCTTCTCAGAGCTTTAAATCAGCTTCTCAAGTCAAGCATTATGGATCACTTTGGGGACGTGAAGAGTTTTGTGGTTGCTATGGAGGTAGTTATAAAAATATTTACTTTCTAGCAGGATGACATTGATCTCTTCAGATTGTTGCTTCATACCAGTGTGGTGCTAGATGGAGCCTCTTGTAAAACTTGCACTACTGATTTTAAGGCTTGTGGTGGCTATTTGACCTTGACAAAAACAAAGACTTATATAGCTTGGAAAGGTTTAGAAGGTTGTTACTCTGCTGCTGCTGCACATGAGATCTTGTGATGGTGTAAATTTTAGTAAATTGTACTTACAGTTGCATTTCTTTATGCTGTTCTATGCACATTATTGTTTGAAATGCCCAGAATAAAATAGATGCTTGAAACAGAAGCCTGATAGGAATTCATTTACTTTATTAGCACCACATAAAATTGTGGTTCAAATTTATGTTTCTGGACAATAACAATAATTTTGATCACTGGTTCATTATTATTTTTCAAATGTTAGACCTTTGAAGGTTTAACTCATAAAGGAAATATTGTTGACTTTGTTTATTCTAGTAGACTGGTGACCCTCAGAATATTAAATAGACATTGAAAGTTAGGTCAGATCTAAGATATTGAGGTTGCCACAACCAGAACAACTGGAAATGTGCACGTGTTTGTTCAACAGACTTTTCACCTTTGTATTTTTCCTGGGAGATGCATCAAACTCATCTACAAATATTAAATTGTTAAATTAGCTCAGCAATAAAGTCATATAAATGTTAAGAAAAACAGAAGTAATATAGAAGGAATGATCTACTGCGAGAAAGCTAAAATACAAAAATTGTATTTAAAGCTCTCCTTGCATTTAGCTTTTTCTTTTAGTCTTACGGCCTCTCTGACTGCAGTTCAAAGTTTTATGTATATATACCATCCTCCCCCTGCCCTCCATTTCTTGGAAAAGCTCAGAAGAATAGCTCAGAAGCATGGAGGGAGTTCCAAAGAGCCTCTTTCCTCACCTGAGTGGCAGCAAGACTTTCTCTTCTTTTAGGAATAGTAGTGATTTTTTTATTTTTTCTTATAATGTGATTTTTACTCCAATCATAGCATGTCTGCTTGCAAGTAGTTGACAGCACTGAGCTACCTCCTGACATATTGAACAAGTGCTTTGCCTGGAGGAGATT